TGCATCAGTTCATCTATTGAAAAGCGCTCTGCTATGTATGTTTAAAATCAGATCTGCGTCTAAAGTGTCAGCGAACGTTCATATCTGCCTTTTCTCTGCATGTCTTTAAAACTGTCTGTGTGCTGTGCAGGGCATACAGGTAGAGTGCACAGAGACTTCATTAGAGCTCATTCCCTCAAAAACAGCTGCTGGAAACCCGACCGATGACAGCGCTGAGACCTTAATGCGCAATAAAACATGAAATATGACTTAAGAAGCACTAAATACCTCCTTGGAGCTGCAGAGTTGGTGATTTGGTCTAAATTGCAACAACTTCATTTTACATGAGATATTTATTTCATAGCTCCTATAAAAACTTGTTTCTTTGCATTACATGACTATAAGATTTTAAAGTTAAGAATAATCTTAACGATGAAAGTTACATTCCAACCAGGAGTCTACAGATGTGACCCAGCTGTTGAGCATCAGTCTGATCTTTTTCCGGTTGCTGTCTACCTCCAAACAACAAGTAGAGCTTCATACTTTAATCATCAAGGCCTGATCTTTGTTTGTTTGGTCTGATCAAGTCCAGTATTCAAATGCGTCCCATTTTCTTTTTTAATAAAACCGACACTCGCATCAAATGGAAGCACATTTAAAATGATGAAACTTGTGATTGCGATTCATTTGTGCTTCTAAAAACACCGTAAAAGATTCAATAAAATAAGAAATAAAAGCAATATAATTATGTTCAATCTTTAAAAGGGCCCACCACTTTCTGCTGTATCATCCCAGGTGATCTGTATTCATATGTGCTCATGTAGCAACTAAGTCTTGTGTTTGTGAAGCAGGCATTACCCCCGTGCCAATTAGAGAGAAAGAGGGGTGTGTGGATTGTTATTAGCAGTAGTGATCTCCAGCCGTGATCCCATCAGCAGCAGCCAGGCTCAGAGACAGACAGCAGGGCAATGAAAGCAGCCCTCAGCCTGTCGCAGAGCCCCGCAGACCTGGCTGGATTCAATCCCACAGTCTGCCCTGATCACTCACCCTGGACGCTGGGCATTAAGGGACACCCATATCCCACACACACACACACACTCACACTCACACACACACACACACACACACACACACACACACACACACAGCCTGAAGGTTTAATCACTCTTTCCACCACTGCCCCTCGAGAAACAACAACTTTGTTCACAGCCTGCCAACTTCTCAACTAATCTGCAATGTCACCAAAACACCACCATCCATTGAATAAAACTGGGTGTGTGTTTTTTTTAACCAGCAGTAAACCTAGAACAATGTATTCATCAAGTTTCTACTTCTTTTTGGCTCATGTATACATTAGAGACACCGCACTGTTTCCAACACTGAACTGCAGATTAGCAAGTTTGGAAAGTTGACCAACAAAATCTGTGGACTAAAACCTTTAGTCCTTAAGAAAATCAGTGTTTTTACAGTATTATTGTGTTTAAAGTGATGTTTAACACTTGACACTTCCAACTATGTCACTCTGAACCTTAGCTACAGCTCTCCAGTCAGTAACAAAGATCGCTCCCCAATGACATTTGAGTATAATATCAAAAACGTAAAGGTTGAATCCAAACAACGACTTTCTTTTTATTTGACATACTGATAGTTATGATGATGAGGCTATTGTCAAAAATGTTTGACCATATTAGCATGGCCTTGGAACTACAAAGGCTGTGTCCACTTAAATGCGGAATTTTTGTACACAAAAGAAAACCCATTTCAGGCACTAATCACTGACGGCCAATAATGACATCATTGTTCAGCTTCTGGATTTCAGTAAAAATGCCCCAATTATAAACTTTCTATGTTTCTGTGATAGTGACCATTGGATGTACACTATTTTTCAGAATGCATTGTGGGATGCGATGAGTCTACTGTATTGGGTTTGTTGATGCTAACTCAGAATTTGGACAGCATTACACTTTTAAGAAGTGAAGGATGATAACACATCAAATGCATCAAATGCATTCAAACGCACAACTTTCAAAGTCATTGTGTAAAAATCTGGAAAAAGGTTACAAAAAACAACTGTTGCAGCACTTTGTATTGAGTAAGTCGTGTATCAGTTAATGCTAAAATAAACTTGAAGAGCTATATCTTGCAGTAGCAGCCGTTGCACACAGTCCTATGTGGCACATGAAAACATCTGATAAGGCTTTAGAGTTATTTTTGAGAAGATTTTTTAAAAAATCAAACTGAATCTGAAAATGTTTCAAATGAGACTTTTAAACTCTGGAAAAGACCTGTTTTTAATCTTTCATCTGAGCAGTCTGGAGGTAAAAAGTTGAAGTATTCTGTTCCCTTTACAAAGTTATCAACCAAGAATGTTCACCTGCAAGTTTTTAAATGATGACGTCTGAACTAACAGCGCATGTCAAGTTGTTTGCAGCTTCTCAGTTGTTGTATTTTTGGAGTATACTTTTCAGAGGCCGATCAAACAGTGACTGTATTTTGTAAGAAGAGATTTTTCTGACTGAGCTTTAACATGATACATTCTCAGGGTTTTGAGGTCTTACTTCACCACTCATAGAAAAATTAATGAGTTTGGGATTGACCTGCTTTGGAGTGTTTACCTGTGGCATTGTGTCTCAGTACTCCGACTGTGTGTTTTCCTTCCCTTTTGTTGAGGGTCTGTTTAACCTCTCTGGGTGATTCTCTTTTCTTTGAGCAATCAGCCATGCCAACAGCTCCTGTTTATGACAATGGCCCAGTTTCTCCAATGTATGCCCACATCTGTTGCTGCTACAGGAAACACACCACTCCGTAAACCTGGCGTCAAACGACTCGTGAGGCTATAGCTTTAGACAAGCTTGCATTTATTCAATAGAAATGTCGCATATGTACCACTATATATTTGCATTCCTTCAAAGGTTGCTAGAAAAAAAATGAAGATGCAATTTTTTTTTCACATTTTTCATTTCTACTCTGTCCTATTTCCTTGACACAGAGCAGAGAGAAACGCTCTAATAAACCCTTCTGCGTCTTTGTCAGCTCTCTTCCTCTCTCTCCGCTGATAGATCTGACTGTAACTCTCCGGCACGCACTTCCAATTCCCTACAGAAACAAGCAGCTTTGATTACCAGGTAAGATCAGGACTCATTGGATTTTAATGCACCATGGACTCTCAGGCTCGAGGTTTTGTCCCCTTTTCATGTTTTATTCCTAAGAAATCCCCCCCCACCCCCACCGCACCCAAATGAGATGGTGATGATAGCTGAGCACCTTTTTTTTCGCAAAGTGTGTCTCATTATTAATTCCATTATGGACGGTCTCTTTGCATGGATCCCCATTAGACAGAGTCAGCCCGCTAGAGCACAGCAGACCTCAGGTTTAATTGACACCGTGGTACACGTGGGAACATGGAGGACGGCATGATCTGAGTGCATGACTGATCAACGCAAATGCCAGCCTTCTCTCACAGGAGTCTGAATTTAAACGAAGAACGGAGCAAATGTTTGAATTAGTATTCCAACAGGGAGAATGCTGAACTGGTGGGAAAACAGGAAACCTTTACAGTTTGAAAATGGACGGACCAAAGGTAAGAAAAGGAGGCGGTGTTAAAAATAACGACTATGATGAAAATTGAATTCTTTTAGTGGTGAAAGCGAAGAACAACCTCGTTTGTGTCATCAAGTTGATGCTGTTATATCTCTACATTATGTGCAACGAAATGACAGAAACTGGGAGCGCCTGTTGGCCCAGCAGTAAGTTCATGCGGCCCATATGCAGAGGCTGTTTTCCTTGAAGCGGGTAGCCAGGTTTCTGGCTCTAGCTACTTTTCCGCACGTCATTCCCCATTCCCCCTTTACCCAGTTTCCAACTCTATCCACAGTCATATCTGAATAAAGTCATAAAAGGCCCCTAAAAAGTGTTAAAATCAGTAGCATTGTTTTTTGCAACTTGTAAACACAACATTCAAACTGGGCCCCTCACCCCCACAAGCGTACACCCACTGCAGGACGTAGCGTGACTGCTTGTACCTATATGCAAGCTATACCGCACATTAGCACAAGCTAACCATCGATGCTTGGCACCTGCATGTCCAACAGAAAGCATGGTTAACCCTTGTGTTGGCTACAGATTTACTTCTTTTGCAGTTTAAATCTAAGACTTCTATCTTGTCAAAACCTTGAACGTTCGTTGACGACATCAAAAGGTTACACGATTTGTAGTTAAAAACTGCGCAAAACCACAATGGGGACAGAGATCGGCCACATTCTGACCACATCAGATTGTTGTTTGGAAAATACAATCTAAAAGATCTGACAAAATTACAACCATACCTCTAGGAACACTTGACCGATGTACAGTTGTTCAGAATTAGAAGAATATGAAGAAGACTCCAAGAAATGACATCACAGTAACACTACAAAGCTGCAACTGCAGTGCCATTGTTTCTTTTTTGTGAGCATCAATCTCCTGCTTCAGCTGATCTACAGTAATATTTTACTTCCAATGACAGTTCATCTAAAACTGAGCCACATCTTCAAGGCCTCACACCATAATGACATAGCAGTGAAGTGTGTCAAAGCGATCAATCACAGGCAGCCTGATGACAAGCTGGTGGCCGCTGTTTAAAGAGCTCTTTGTGTCTGTGCTGTGTCGGTGTTCGGAGTGACACGCGGCACAGACGACTGACTCTGAGCTCAGGGCTTTGCTCATTCACACTCTACACAGACCTCTTGTCTGAGCTCTTTACAGGCTGCTTCGGTGCAAACTGTTTCTCTGGCAGGGAGTATTTGAAAGGAGGAAAAAATGGCTCGTAAATTGGGAATAGATTTTGATTTTATTGTAAATAAAAAGTAGACAAGTAAAAACATGATTGGAAATTGTGTCTGATCACATCTCAGGAAGCAACTGAATGGCAATCAAACAAAACAGCAGACACTGAAGAATGAAAGGTAGCAATCAATCAAAAAATAAAGACTAGAAGACAAGAAATGTATTCAACATGGTCAAAATTTAGGATGCTTGCTTACCATCTTTTATTCTGTGTGCTCAATTTTTCTTGCGCTGCTTTCATGGCACCAATCTTTAAAATCACAGCATGCATACAAATAATTAGAGGAAGATTTGTTCACGATCAGGTGGACAATTCAGCATTCTACAAGTGGCAGAAAATCTCACATTAGCCATGGGACAGAGGAGCAACTGAGCAGCTGGTACAACAAGTGCCATGACAGCCGAGAGACCCTTCCATAGAAACCCCAGAGGATCGGAAATAGACAGCGGAGCATGAAGCAGAACTCAAGAGATCCACAAGCATGCATCATGAATCAACAAGAGGAAGCTGGCATGCAAGGAGGAAGCTAAATGATTCCAATTCTGATTTAGTTTCATGTACTGTAAGATCTTTATCCTACAACACTGGCACATTTCCACTTTCTTCCCACAAGGGCTCGGTGATAGCTAAATTAAAGATGAATGAGTGAAAAAAATAATCAATAACAACTGCGCGTACTTAACAGGTGACATATTGTGATAAATACATTTTACCATGTTTTTATAACACTAATATGTTTCCCTAGCTGGTCTACAAACCCCCCAATTATGAGAAAAAGTCAATCCTCTTCGTCTTTTGCTTGAACCACTTTTCAGAAAATGTGTGCTCAAACAGGCTTGGAGATTTTCCCTTTGTGACATCACAAAGGGCAGTAACCCCTCCCCCAGATGGATGGCCCTCCTACAGCAAGGCATTTTTTGGCCCTCTAAGTCTGCCTTCTCAACATACACAATAGGGTATGGAGCAAGAAAGCTCATGCCACACCCACTTCTAGAGGGGCATGGTCATTAACACATCTCATTTGCATTTAAAGCTACAGACACAGAAACAGCCTATTCTAAGCAGGGCTGAAATAGAGGAGATTATAGGCATGATCAAATACACAATCAGAATGGATTAATAACAATAAACCTCATGACATGTTTTGGGGAGCTCCGAGATTTATTTAAGCTGGTTGAAAAGGAGAATAATATTTGACCTTTAAAGGCAAAGCCTCATTCCAAGCCACATGTCCAAAACCTTTGAGACCAAGATTCAGATTGTGTTGTTGATTTATGAATGAATTTAAAGTGGGGAATTTGAATAACTACTATATGATAAGAGGCCTTTCACTCAGATACAGCAAGACATAAAAACAGAATTTGAGTATTTAAAGATCAGAGATAAAATACTTTCTTAAATGCTGCCTCAATAAATAAATAAATAAAATAAGAGAAATGATAATCCATTTCCATAAACATTCAGCAGGTTTTTAAATGCTAAAACCACTGACCGTGCTCTTAAGTGTAAACACTTGGGCATTTTTATTAATGGTAATGTGTATTTAAATGCCAACAATAATGCTAAAACTGCAGGAACAAGTTGCCTCTCCAATTACATTAACCACAGAGCACACATTTTATAGCTCAGCATGGTTATTATTTGATAAAAGGAAACCTTTTTCCAATTTTTTTTTTATTTTCTGCATGAAGTGCTGGATAAAAGCACTGCAACAAACTTTCTATATCTCACTTTAGGGGGGTGCCGATAGCCTAGCGGTTATGACAAGTCCTCGTCACAGCGAACGCAGGTTCAAGTCTGATACTCTTGTCCTGCCTTAAATCATTCATGAGATACAGTTCTTTATTCATAACTCATGGAATGCTACATGAATTAAGTCCTCCTACTTGAGCCTGAATATGATAATTCATGTACCCGTACAATAAAGAGCAATAGATGGATCACATTTAAAAAAGGCCTTTAGGGTGCACGCTGGCCGTCAGACATCAAAGCCACACCTAATGATCTACCTTAACTTCACTTTTAGAGACAGCATCCCCATACATCTATCCTTTGCAAGTCTTAGGGTCATCATTAATGTTGCCGAAGGCCGTAGCTTCTCAAGGAAACCATCACCATACACATACACATTTTGTCAGTGTCCCAACAGCAGACTGTGCTTTTTTTGTTTTTCTGTCTCTGTACAAACTGAACAAAGTTGTCGGACTGGGTTGAAAGGTGCAGCGTCTCTGCGTGCGGTACCAACGAAATGACAGTTTTATTTATGTGCTTGCTCTCCGGATCAAAGCAAATCCATCAGAGCCTTTGTTGTCAGCTGTACCCGCTGGGCGGAGATGTATCACGCCCAGGAAGGAAACATAAATACACTTTCCTCACCCACAGCATCCACCTGCTTTACAAAATGTAACTTTACTTGGCACTGGAACTTTCTTCATGTTAATGCTCACAGTAAGTGTTTTTTTATATTGCTTTGATGTTGCTTTTCTAATCTGTAAAGGCCAATTGTGCAATTTAAATTCCCTAAAGGGCAGCATGATTTATTCATTTCTGCTTTCATAATTCTTCCAGTTAAACTTTAAACACAATAAGCGACATGTTTAAAGGACCAGTAAGTCAGCGCCGTGCCAGGCAGCCGCACTGGAATCCAATACAAATCTTCTGAGTGTAATTAAATGAACGCTTATGCGCATTCTCAAAGCCTTCAAAGTGTTCTGTACAGCAGGCTGCAATCTCAGGACTCAGCGGTCACACACAAAGAAGGAGACGGCAGCAGATGTGTCCGTCTCCGCTGATCACCGAACACTCCAGTGAATCCACTTCAGACGCTGCGAGACGGGCAGCACAGGTAGGAGGCATTCCATTAAAGAGCAGCAATGTGTCTCCCCTGTTGATTACAGAGCATTGATCGGGGAAGAAGAAGTGACTGATTTGGAATCCCGCTGGTGGATGAGCGGCTGGGCGTGTGTGATGGAGAGAGGGCGAGGGAGAGCGAGACAAAGCGAGAGAAAGAGAAAGAGCGAAAGCTGTGGTTCACACCAAAATCCATCTTATTGGATTTTAGCAGCGAGCATTCATCACTCTCTGCTTCTGTGCTACTTGGGGATTGGCTGCAAAACTTTAATAAAAGCTTGCCAGCCCACCCTGCACAAACACACAGGCTGTGGAGAGAGAGAGAGAGAGAGAGAGAGACTTTGTGATTCCAAAAATGAGGAATTTCAGTGAAGGCATTTATTTTGTTGTTATGTAACAAGCAGGCAAACAGCTTCCTTCAAAAGCCTCCAATTACAAGCACAAACTGAATAATAAAAAAGACTAAATAAAAGACGCTTCATGACACCGTGTAGGCCATCACCATGCTGCAAGCGAGCGCATTGATGTCTCTGAGGGAGTTCAGTGTGCGGGTGTGCTCCGGTCTCTGAGCTGTCCAGAGGAAAAAAATCAATTTCCGATGATGCATCAGCTGGAGTGAAGCCGCTCTTTGCTTTCTTAACAAGTCTCCTCAGACTCTCGCCTCTGCCATCACACAACACATGCAACAGGTCAGCGGCGTCGGCGTCGACGCCTCAGGGAAAGACCAAACACTGTTACCTCAGCGCTAATTGGTCTGATCTGTGATATAATAAGCATCGCTGAGATTTACAGGGACGTCACATTCACCCACGGATTCAATACAAAGCTGGCCCAGACTCCCAAGAAACCAATACAGATGAATTCATTTCAGCTTGGATATTTCCAGTTTATAAATACTTCTTTAAAATACAGGCTAAACAGATTCTAAATCTGTCATTAGCAGCACAAACAAGAAACTTTTTTCACCTTCTCACAAGGGATCTGATGAATCAGCCGCTCATTTGTACTTTTTCTCACTGAAATACACAAAAAAAATACTATTTCAGAACAGAATGCTTAAAACAGAAATAACAACATTATCCTCTCCAGAAATGTATTTGGATTGGAAATACAGTTCAACTAAAGTAAAATCAAGTTGACCTTTAAGCCTTATTCTCACAATCACAAAAGTCCTGAAAAATTCCTAAATATTTCACCACGATTTTTTTCAAGCCAGCCCCCTTTTAAGATTTCTGCCAGACATTGATGTCCTGCAACCAGGTTGAGACCAGTTTGATCATCGTGCATGTAATAGGAACGCTTCATTATGTTTCCTGCGGTCCTAGAATTGTTTTCTCTGCTCTTTCAATAAAGTTCAAATACATCCACCAACACAGCATTGATATAAAGGTAACAAAAAACTGTCATCATAGTGTCTGACTCTGTTGCCACTGATGCCAGTCGGCCATGTTGCATTGTCCTTTTTTTTTTTTTTTTTTACGTCATGCCTCCAGAGTCCCCTTACATGTCCGAAAGGGAAAAACTTCCCCACCCCGCTGTGTGTGTGGTATATGTGTGGTGAAGCATCTGAGGAAGATTTCAGGGGCAGCCTGCATGAGATTTTCTAGAAAGTTTCAGAAGTGCATGTGTGAAAACAGCTTTACAGGTACAAGTCCTAGGATTTATTAAAGTTTTAACTTCATTTCTAAAGTTCTACAGATTAAAAGAAAAACATCCTCTGTCTCTACATTTCAGTATTATTCATGCCACATAATAAATCCTCCTCAGTTCATGTTTTTCTCATGCCAGGCCCTAACAGGCTTCTGTGATACCGTGACTCAAAAAAGGGAACTACAGACTACTTCGGAAATTGTATGTCTTCTATTTCTCAAGATTGCCTGCTCCTATAAGTGTGCATAATATATGAGCAGTCTGTTCTCGGGCAAGCACAGAGTGTGTTGTCTGACCCATCTCACATCCTCCACTTCAAGTATGAGCTTTCACCATCTGGCAGATGATACAGAGTCCCCCAAAGCAAATTGAACCGTCTTAAAGACTCTTTTGTACCGACGTTGATCGGAATTCTAAATTCTGTTTAGACAGGATGGGGTGTGCAATACATCATGTTTTTTTTTTCTCTTACGTTTGTGTTTTTTGTGCAATATATGTTGTTGTGTTTTTTGGTTTGCACAGGTACAGTATGTTCTTTTCAATGTGGATTGTGTTTGTATCTATTGTTTTTATGTAATGGTTGTACTGTGGAGGCAGCAGAATGTTTGGAGCACTTTGAGTCCAAGACAAATTTCCCCAAGAGAACAATAAAGTGTATCGAATCGTATCAATATCCTCTCAGCTGTGAGCTTATTTATTGGAGAGGAGCTTTTTCTCCGTCAGTGTGTCTTCACTTCCTCTGTGCTTCT